GTATTGTATACTTTAGTACAGAGAAGCTGTAATACTTTTACTCATAACTTTGGCAATAGTACTGTAAGTCAATTCTAATAAACTGACCCATAATTTTAAAGCCTGTTTTTGCACTGATGCTTGTTTTGGTATGGCAAGCCCCATATAATCTAATCTCTGCATTATGTAGGCCAGATCCATTTTCTACTTATGTATAATTTTCTTATTTTCTTATTGTACATCCACACTGATGAACTTATTTAATAATAATAATATACTGGAGCATTTCCTTTTTACATTTCTTGAATTAGTTGCCTCCTCATTTATTGTTTCTTGTCTTGTGGTGTATCAATTGCTCTTTTTGTCCACTGCTTCATAATAGCATGGAGGTATTATAGTCAACTGGAGAAACAACATGAATTCAGTCCTTTGACGATCATTCCGACTGTGCTGATAAAAACTGTGGTGACGTGACGTATAGTGGATATAAATGTTGTATAAACATACAGTACATCAATAGACCATAATATTGTCTCGGATCTCTTTGTAATAGCCTTATCAGCAGATAAACAGCAGTGTTGTTTCTCTAGTTGATTATAATGTCTTTAATGACTGTTGCATGCATGATTAATGATCTCACGCCCTCTGGTAGCTCGATCCCGCATTGTATGCTGGGACGACAAGATGGCGATATGCTTTGTGCAACACGAGTTAATAAAGTGTGTTAATGGAAACTCTAATACTAAAGGCTATCCTGAGTATTGTATTACGTCTTTAACTCTAGAAGTTACAACATAAAACATGGTATCCAGAAGTGCCGGATTTGGATTTCATTGTGCTCCATTTCAGTGATAAACTCGGACTTTGTGTATGCCTAGCGTTCGGAAACTTGTGACAGTACGTTATAGCGTTGATCGTCAAGCGTCCCCGCGATTGAGTCATTGATGTGCTGTGGATCGCGGTAAAGTCATATTACACAGTGTAGTGGGAATCTTAGCCCTTGTAGTGAGTGTAATATAGTATAAGCTTGGAGTATATTTGTAAAATAGTTGATAAGCTTAAACACAAGTCTAAATCTAGTATTTTTTTAAGGTCATTATTAGTCATAACTAGTTTAGATAAATAATAGAGAAATCAACATGCTTGTTGGTGATGAAAATGAGCAACCTCCACCAGATGCAGATGGTAATGTACCTCCTCAAGGTCATGGTATCAAGAATATTAGGGTTCCTCTCCCTCCCAATATCACTTTAAAAGGGAATATGAAAACCAATTGGCAAATTTTTAAACAGCTGTGGACGTCGTACGAGCTACTGACTGGTCTAAAAAATCAGGCGATGGAATACCGTGTCGCTGCATTTGTCACATGCATCGGTCAGAAAGCTCTGGAAATCCACACTGGTCTACCTTTTAAAACTGAGGAAGATAAAGGAAATCTCGATACCATATTAAAATTATGGGAAGAGTACTGCTGTGGGCAAACCAATGTCATATATGAGAGGTTTTGCTTTAACAAGTGTGATCAAAATACATCTGAAACTTTTGATCAATATTTGGTTAAGTTGCGTAAATTAGCTTCATCATGTGAATACGGCAACATGGCCAGTGACATGATTAGAGACAGAACCGTTTGTGGGATACGGGATGATGACATAAGAAAAGAATTGTTAAATGAGAGCACGCTTACGCTCGAAAGTTGTATCAAAATGGTAAAGAGCTTTGAGGCTACGGCCAAACAGGCAAAAACTATGTCACACTCAGGTTCCACAAATTCTGTCAATCATGATGTCAGTTATATTAGTAAGCGTAAACAGGGTACTACTAAAAAATTCCAAGGGAATAGAAAACCTTGTAAGTTTTGTGGACAAACTCATGTTTGGGGTAGAGATAATTGTCCAGCCTATGATAAAAGATGTTCATCATGTGGAAACAAAGGTCACTTTGAAATCAAATGTGGTGATTTTCAAAATCTAAGTAAAAGTCAAAAAAGTCAATCCTCATACAGGAAAAAGTCCAGGAAACCTATAAAATCTAGTGCCAAAAATATAAGAGCATTGGGATCTGATACGTCTGATTCACAGTCAGACACAAGTGAGTTTTCTGAATATGAGGAACAATGTTCATTAATTGATGTATATGAACCAGATAATGAAAATGTACATAATGTCCAACCTAAAGGTACAAAGTCAGGTACTATAGTAGCCAAGATGTATTTGCACAAGACAAGAGAGCCAGTGATCATGCAAGTGGATTCTGGGGCATCTTGCAATGTGTTGCCAGCGCAATACTTACCTGCAAATGTGGTGCTGACAAAGACCAGTAAGAAGTTACGTATGTACAGCAATGATATGGTCCCTGTCTTGGGTACATGTAAATTAAGATTAAAAAATCCAAGAAATGGTAAAAGGTACTTAGTTCCTTTTTATGTCATAAGTAATCTAAAGGGCTCACTACATAAACTCCCACTCCTTGGTTCAACTACAGCACAACAAATGCAACTCATCTCAGTCAATCATGAAAACATTGCAATAGTCAATGAGTTGCAAGATGAAATGTCAAATGTCAAAACTAAAGAAAATTTATGTCAGGAATATCGGGACGTCTTCAGTGGTCGCGGCTGTATGCCTGGTAATGTCACCCTCTATGTGGATGAAACTGTAAGACCATACACATCTAGATGTGTATAAGAGACAGACTTATTATAAACCAGGTCATTTATTG